AGCTCGGACTCGCCGAACCGCTCCATTGCTCCAATCATCCTGGCTCGGGATTCCTTCCTGGCTCGGCCGAAGCGCGAAGTGGACCACGGCGCTCTGGTCGCTCTGAAAACTTTGCAGGCAAGGCGAATCAGCCGTTGGCCTTCCTCGCAGGCGGAAAATGCGCCTGCCTGCTTCCGGTGGAGTTTGTGCGGTGTGTCCGCCCACCACACACAGTGGCAGTGGCTGTGGCAAAGCCACTGCATCATCCCGAAGTTATCCGCCCCTTCGTCCCCTGCGAAGACGAGCCTCAGCACTTTGTGCTGGTTCGCACTGGGGAAGTCCGGAACAGAACGGCCTGTGCTGGGGTCATGCAGAAAGTAGGCCTCTTTGGCGGGGCTCAGATTGTGCATGGCCTTCTCCTCCAATGTCATCCTGTATCTCTGCATGCCTTGTTGAGGCACAAGAACGTTTTCCGGAAGGCACCAGGAAAAGTCGAACTCTGGCAGCACAAGCCCGATCATGTTGCGGGTGCTGTGAAGCAAATTCTTTGTTGCATTTCGGTAGGTGCGGTGCATCTTTGGAGCACCGGCGGCGGCAAGACCTGCGGGGCCTTGGAGGGCCGCATTGAGCGCCTGTAGCACTGTCCCAGGGTCAGCACTTGGATTGCTATCCGGGAGGATCTGAATCATGCTGGCCTCTGTCTGCTCAAACTGGAACTGAAAGGAAAGAACCTGATGGGAACATGGCAAAGCCCATCATGGCTCTGGTTTTGTGGAACCGAAAGTTTCCCGGGTGTGAGCCTGCCTGGAAGGTGCAGCAGCGAGCAGCATCCATGGACCAGTTGAGCAGTCGAATGCCCGTCTGAGTCTCGTTGCTCGGCTGGCAGCTGGCAGTGATGCGAACACTCATCTTCACCAAGAACCTCATCAAGAATTCGCCGACGGTCGCAGATGCCACTTTGGAGTTCTTCCCGCTGAGACCCATCTCTCCAACCGTAGGCTCCTCCTTCGTCGTGAGGAAGCCGCTGGCCTTCTTGGAAAAACGATTCAGCAAGGCCTCTCTCAACACGATTGATCCTCGCATGCGACTGCTCTTCAGAAGCGGGTGGTAGCAGGCACCTCGACGGGCTTCTGGACAGGTTTCCTCCAACAAGTCTTCCGTATTCTCCAAGCGAAGTTCCACGGACTGTGTGAATGCATGCAACAATCGCTTCGTTGCACGAGAAGAGTGCTCCTGAGCACGGAAAGAGCCCCTGCTGCGAGTGTGCAGGGTGACGTAGAGGGCCTTGCCCATGGTGATGTACAACCTGTCATTCGGGAACAGCCTCGGCAGGAGAATGCAGGCTTTGCAAGCACAGAAGCTACAGGCGAAAAAACCTCTATCTATTTATAACCGAAGGACTTTGTTGTGGCTTGAGCAAGCACGTCTAGCCCAATGGCCGCAGTGGCGGAGCTCCAATCCTCTAAGAGAATCCGATTGCCTTCGACCTTCAGGGTGCTCTCCTGGTTGCGAGGAAGCAACCGCACGTCGCCTGAAAAATCGCACATTTTGTCAAACAGTTCCACCAAGGCCCAGGTCTGCTTCTGAGCATCGGCTGTTAGCGATCGGTTCTGCAAAAAGCTAGCTACGAAAGACAATGCCCCAGGGATGGTTGCACAGTCCACGGGCAGCACCTTGTCGCTTCCGTCCGGCCTGTCTCCCTTGTAAGCCGTTCGCCTGAGAACCTGAGCTGGCATTTTGTTGCACCAGAAGATTACTTGCTTCTGCAGAGACTCGCCGCTAGCCACTCTTAGTTCAAACGAAGGGCATGGTGGTCCGCCAGTTCCCATTCCTGGAGAATGGGCTTGCCCACCGTCTGAAAGGAACGGCTGTACCAAGAGGCAAATGTGGTCTTGAACTTCCACAGCTCCGGCACGGCCCACAGGAACCGATATCCATTGATGGCATCTGCCTCACCCACCTGCACACACTACTACAGGACAGCAAAGGATTTTGCATGCTTCGACAGCAAGCCAGTCTGTAGTGTTGCAAACAGAAAGCAGCCAGCCTTCAAGACTGACACCACATCAGGGCCACTGCAGTGGAAGAGCCAAGTGAAGGGAGTGCCCGGTTTTCCGGACGGAGACTCGGCCACCTGACCGACAGCTTCCTCACCATGAGTTTCCCGCGACACATGCGGGCTGGACACCGGCAAAGGAGGCAGTGGAACCGAAGCCTGCAAGCCTGCCAAGGCTTCTTTCGCCAGAGCTCTCAGCTCCTCTAAGGACACTTTGTCCACTTTCAGCCAATGCAAGAACAGCTTCGCCGCTGCAGCATGGGCTTCGTTTCTCAATCGACTCGCTTCTGCATCGGAAGCTGCATCGAGGATGCCATCATCTGCAGCTTCTAAAAGGCTCTTGAGCTTCTGCTGCAAGATTTTCACGTCTGCACTCATGGTTGGGCACACTCCTGGCCCCAACCTTTGAGCCTCGCCAAGAACGGCAAGTGTCAATCAGAGGCTCTTGTCACACAGAGCAGCTGCTGAGAAGAAGAGGCCTACATCATGGGGATGAAGGCGGCCACGGTTCGCACGACTCATGTAGTTCTGAGCAAACCAATTCTGGAGCTTCCGACCACGGTTGAATTTGTTTGGTTCTTCATAAGACAGTACTCTGTTATCGAAAGACACGACGACTAGGAACGGGGGCGCCGAAAACACACCTCCATCATCAACAATGTAACAAAGCGAGCTTCGGCTTCCAGCTTGATCCCTGGCTACTGTACAGAATCAGAACATATCGACACTTTGGCCCTGTGCAGATACTCCGAAAAATTTCAGGCCTTCCGAATCTAAGGCGACGCGAAACCCCATAAAGGAGAAGGCCGCCCAGGGCACAGATTTATGAAACATGGTTTCATGAAAAACTGGTTTTGGCTTTTTTTCCGAAAGGGTTTCCTGTTTTTTTTTTGGTCTGTTGTTCTTCTCCGAAGCATATGGCGCTACATTATTTTATGAAACATGGTTTCGGTTGAAACATTGTCTTTTTTCCGATTTGCTCTGGGCTTGTATGTTGATGTATGAAACCTGGTTTCATGTTTCGGGGCCTTATGCGAAGTAGCTTCAAAAACAAATGGGCAACGTGAGCTATCTCCATGGATTTCCAAACCGAGGAATGGCGAGAAACATGGATTTGCAGGACACCTGGGTTTTGGTTAGGGCATCGTTCTCGAAACTAAGCTGAGCATCCACGTCGGGCCCTGTCGCCAGAGTTTGTGACCCAGCCCCGAGAAGCATGGCCGAGCACAGCCTTCATTCCCGACTC